CCCCCAAGTGGTACAGCTTTTTTGCTGCGGTCTTACAACGCTAGACACCGGGTTTCGATACCCGTGGTGGGCACAACCCAGATAGCCTATTGTGTAGCTCAGTGGCAATTCGATAGGCTTATTACGCTATAAACCGAGTTTCGATACCCATGGTGGGCACAACAAAGATAGCCCATTGTGTAGCTCAGCGGCAATTCGATGGGCTTATTACGCTATAAACCGAGTTTCGATACCCATGGTGGGCACAACCCAGATAGCCTATTGTGTAGCTCAGCGGCAATTCGATGGGCTTATGACGCTATAAACCGAGTTTCGATACCCATGGTGGGCACAACAAAGATAGCCCATTGTGTAGCTCAGCAGTAAGTCAGAGGGCTTATGACGCTATAAACCGAGTTTCGATACCCATGGTGGGCACAGCACAGATAGCCCACCCATTATGTAGTTTTGCGCTTAACAACAAACAAGCCCCATGATGTTTAAACCCGGATAAAGCGTGTATAAAATCAACGCTTTTAAAGTTTTCTCCATGCCTGTTCTTGCAAGTGTGAAATGTGTTTTAACCACTTTTGATATTATAATTTTCTTTATCCTTTTGAAACGCTGTTATAATAAATATATATTCACAAAATATCAATTCCCTTAACAAAATAAAATAAATAAAAAATTATTTATAGGTATCAGTTCTCACTTCTAAAGCATCTGCCATTGTTACAAATTTTAAACTAATTATCTACGTTCATTGTTATTTTCGCATACAATCACTTAAAGACCAACAGAGTGTAATAAAATACTACAAACAATGAATTAAATACAAGAAAACAAATTAATTTAGGATCTGAATAAACGAATACTCTAACAAGTATGATAAGTATCATTACACTGTACGTTGTAGCAAAAAAAACAACAACATCCAGATTCATTGTGTGCATACAAAACTTATTATATGCACGCGCATATACATAAACTCACATATACTACATATATATATATATGTGTACATATCCTTGGAGACATGGTATAAAAGAGGACAATGAATCCCCCATTGAAGAAGTCAATGTCAACAAATCAATGCATTGTACGACGCCTAATTAGATGACATCTCAGCTTACACAAGAACGCTATATTCAGCCCTGAACACAACAGGCAACAAACTCCGGTCGAAACAAGCCAACGTAAGGCTCATTAAGGAATTTCTTTTTTTAACACATCGAAGATATTAACGCGTAACTCGACAGTATATGCAGAAAACAAAGATTGAATTCACTGAGGTGGGGATACTGTTGATATATTCACTAGGATTCCGTAAACTCAATATATGATCATATAAATCATATTTGTTAAAGAGAAATGCATCTTATTTATGACTTACGTATGGTATTATACGGTTTGAGTTGTCTCTATACCCCCTCCCCACAGCGTCACAGCTTATAACGCTAGAAACCTGGTTTCGATCCCCATGGTCGGCATAGCACAGATAGCCCATTGTATAGTTTTGTACTTAACTACATACAAACAAACAAAAAAAAACGTTTCGCTTTCATGTAGGATATATATATATATATGATTTGCACGCATATAATGCTCCCTGGTGTCACAGCGCTAGCTGCAGACTGAAACCTCTAAAAACCGGCTTTCGATACCCGTGGTGGGCACAGCACAGATAGCCTATTGTATATCTTTGTGCTTAGCTACAAACAAACAAAAAAAAGAAGTGTTCCACTTTCATATATATATATATATGATTTTCACGCATATAATTGTTAAGATTCCAATAAGGCGTGAAATGTTTACGTGATTCCAGAAGAACCAACGTGGTTTGAACACTATTTGACTGTAGTGACTACAGAGATACTTGTAATTCATATATATTCGTGTCATTTCTTAACAGAAACATATTGTATCAATATTTGTGTGACAGTAAATTGTAAAGCATATCCGAATTTTAAAAATATCATGTCTTCTTTCCCTTGAGTTTTCTTTTATCTAGTGTTGCAGGTGTTAAAAGACTCTATTACATTAGATTCTTTCCAAAGTCTGTTTTACATTAGCTCTTTTCCAAAGACTAAATTATATTAGCTTCTTTCCAAAGACTGGAATATATTAGCTCTTTTCCAAAGACTGGATTACATTAGCTCCTTTCCAAAGACTGGGTTACATTAGCTCTTTTCCAAAGCCTGTGCTACCTTATCTCCTTTTGGACAGAAATATTCCTA